CCCGTTCAGACCCAGACCCAACCCCTCGGCCTCCAGGTCTCCCCTTTTCCTCTCGCCCCTACCCCCAGCTCTCTTCCTGGCCCAACTTGCTCCCCTGTGGCCCCGCCCACCAGGGTCCGGCCCCGCCCCCTCGCCTTTCCCGCTGGGGCGCCCCAAGTCCTTGGTCCGCACTCCTCCCCGCTCCCTGCAGCACCCCTCGCCCAGCCCAGGCCCCGCCCCACCCCGCAGTGGCCCCGCCCTCTCGCCCCGCCCCCCGGCAGCCCCGCCCCCCTGCGGCCTCTACCTTTGACGTCTTCCCTTGGGAGCCGGCGGGGGTCGGCGACCGAATGCCGGCGAGACTCAGGGTCGGCGGCGACAGCTGGCGCCGCGGGGGGCAGCGAGGTGACCGTGAACCTGCGGCTCATGGCGCGCGGGGCGACGGGATCGCACAAGTGGCCGCAGCCAGGCTGCTGAAGCGCCAAGAGCTTCCCCGCCCGCCGCGCGCCGCGCCGGGTCCTAGTGCCCGCTGTGCCCAGCCTCCCCAGTCTGGCCACTTCTTAAGACCCTGGGCTCTCAGTTTCACCAAAAGCACCCGAGGAGCCCACCCAGAGGTGAGTCATCTCTCACGGAGGGTTTCTCCACCTCTGCTGGGGTCTCCTGAACACCTGGGGTTCGTTCACTCAGCACAAGTTGATGGTGATCCTGTTTTAGGCGATGGGACCTCTGCCCATAGAGCAGTGACCATCAACTGTCTACTTGACTTCCTGAAGGCTTACGTTCTAAGGAGGACATCAGAGAAAGTGTGTGAGCAAATAGGGAGATATCATCACCTGAGACTGTGCCATACCTTAAGAAGGAAAATTGGGGCCATTGTTGGGGAGAACTAACGGGGTGATCTGAGGGCGAATCCCAGAAAGCATCAGACCTGAGTGAGACCTCACTGATAAGCAGAACCAGCAATGCAGAGATCTCAGGGAAGAATTCTCCGGCAGAAAGAAGCAGCAGCAAGCCATAGGTCTAGAGATCTGATTCAGTGGGCGGATGCTGCCTAGCACCCACAGGGCCCTGGGTTTAATACTAGGCTTTCTTGAGTAGCAAGTGAAAAGGCCCTGGGGCAAGAAGGGGCCTGGACTGTTCAAGAAAGAGCAAGATAGACACTCTGTCTGCATCAAAGTGAATGACTGACAGGAGGTGAGAAAGAGGGCAAGCAGCAAGTCTGTGCTGGCTAGTTTTATATCAACTTGGCACAAGCTAGTCATCTTAGAAGAGGGACCTCGACTGAGAAAATGTCTCCACCAGACTGGTCTGTAGACAAGCCCGTGGCACGTTCCCTTGACTAAAGGTTGCTGTGAGCGGTGCCACCCTGGGCTGGTGGTCCTGGGTGCTGTAAGAAAGCAGGCTGAGCAAGCCACGGGGAGCGAGCCAGTAAGCAGTGTTCCTCATGGCTTCTGCTTCAGCTCCTGCCTCCAGGTTCCTGCCCTGACTTTCCGTAGTGATGGATTGTAATGGACATGTAGGCTGAAATTCAAAAAACGAAAACCTACTTTACTTTGGTCAGAGTGTTCTATCACAGCAATAGAAACCGAAGACAAAATTTTTGAGGAGGAGCCTGAATTCTTTTCTAATCCAAAAGGGAAGCTGCTGGAAGTTTTGGTGCAGCAGGATAGTGTGATCTAATGTATATTTAAACAAGATCAGTGGCTCTGACAGCCAGACTAAAGGCATGGGAAGATTACTCAGTCAGTTAAGTGTACATGGGGAGTACAGTGCCTGTAATCACCTGGCTGATGAGGCAGAAACATGAGGGTCCCTGGGGCTGAGTGGCAGCCAGCCCAGCCAGGCCTCAGAGAGAGAGAGACCCTGTCTCAAAAAACAAGATGGGACTGAGGGTAGCAAGACAGCTCGTCAGGTAAAGGCGCTTGCCAGCAAGTCGGACTACATGAGTTTGATCCCCGACGCACGTAGATTAGGGAAAGAACCCACTCCTGTAAATGCTCATCTGACTTTCACACAAGCGCTGTTAGCACGTGGGTGCCCGCAGACACACACATAACACAAAGTAAATACATGTAATATGTTTCTAAATCAAGATGAAGAGTGCCTGAGTTGACACCCAGAGTTGACCTCTGGCCTCTGCCTGTACCCACACACATGTATGTGCATGTACACACACACACACACACACACACACACACACACACACACACTTGGGCAGAAGTCAGGAGTGGATACCAGGAGCCTCATGAAGAGCTGGTGGTGGGCAGTCTAGAGAAGGCACAGACATCAGATACGTTGTGGAAGTGTAGTCAGCGGAACTACATGGGATGTAACAATGGAATCAGAGAGCAACCGCACTGTGGGGGAGTAGAAACAGTCTGAAACGCTGTTTGCTCACATCTCTTAAGGCTGGGCATAGACATGCCCTTCGGCCCAGAAGTTTTACTCCAGTTTGTGAGCAGAAAAAAATGGCTACCCATGTGCTCCCAAAGACTTTTGTTTTCCTTTTATTTTTTATTTATGAGTGTGTGTGTGTGTGTGTGTGTGTATGTAGTGTGTATGTGTGTGTGTGTGTGCGTGTATGGTGTGTGTGTGTGTGTGTGTGTGTGTGTATGTGTGGTGTGTGTGTGTGTGTGTGAGTATGCACGTGCGTGTGTGTACAGTGCCCATGGAAGCCAGAAGAGGATGTTGGATCCCCTGGAACTGGAGTCACAGGCAGTTGTGAGGCACCAGATGTTGGCATTGGGAATTGAACTTGGGTCCTCTGCAAGACAACCGAGTGCTTTGACCTCTGAGCTATCTTTCCAACTATTCTCCCACCAAGATTCTTCCAAAAATGGTCATAGCAGTATTATTCACAATGATCCCAGACCTGAATCTACCCAAATGTCTACCAATAGCAAAACAGATCACTGTCAGGCATTTACACAATGGAATTGGACATAGTGCTAAAATTAGACCATCTACTATTTACAAAATATGGACAAATCTCGCAGACATCGACCAAAAGGATTCAAGAGACTCAAAGGGTACAACACGACACACCTTACAGAACTGTTTAAATAGTTGGGGAGGCCAAGGGATGGCTCAGTGGTAAAAATGCTTGCTGCATAGCCACAGTGGAGTGAACGTTGTTCTCTGCGTGTGAAGGTGTCCATCCACAATCACACAAAGGTGGAGGCACCTGGAGGAGGAGAAGTCGGGTCTGTTTAGGTGGAAAGCCTGTTAGGTCACGAAGAACGGGCAGTCGAGCCTGAGTCTAGGTCTCAGGGGAGAGGTTCAGCTGGGGATGTCAGTTTGGACAGATGTACTCTTCAAAGTTGGACGGCTGGTGAGATCAGAGGGAGTAAGTGTCCATAGTGGAGAATCTGAGAACTGAGCCTTGGAGCATGCTACCATGAGAGGTTACAGAGAGGGAAGAGAAGAGCCGGGAGGGGAGGTATTCCTGACACTAAATGTGAGAAAAATGCTTCTGGAGAGAGAGAAGACGGACTGTCACATCACATCTGTGGATGGAGGATAGGCAGTGTGCCCTGTGCTGACGTGGGAGGTCACAGGTGACTCAGTAGCACTGTGAGGGAGGAGCCTGTGGTGAATAGTTGTTGAGGGCAGTGGAACAAGGAAGTGGAGATGTGAGTAGGACCCACCCATGGGTAAGTTTTACTGTGAGTGGGCCTGGGGGAGGGGGAGAATCAGGATAGTAACCCAGGGGAGACGGGGTGGAGATAGGTTTTGAACAAGGCGTGTTAAGGAATGCTTGTGTTCAGAAGGGAGTGGCTCATTCCTAGGCTAGAAACAGACCTGCTGGGAGAGGAGCACTCCCAGAGGGGTGGCTTGGGGCAGTTCTCTGACCTCTCCCTTAAACTCCCCAGAACACGATTGCATCTGACCAACCTTCCCCCTCTTTCCGGCCTTTCACTGACAGCACACACGCACCCTTGGGCTCCCCTTGGGGGACTCGCAGCCTCATTGCTAGTTTCTCTCTATTTGAACTCTGTGACCACCATCCTTGTGTGTGCTGTTCCATTTTCAGGTTGATGGCTTGGCAGGATGGTTGGCTGGAGAGATGGATCAGAGTTAAGTGCACTTGCTGCTCTCCCAAAGGACCAGAGTTCACCTCCTGGCACTGGCCTGGGGCAGCTCTCTACTGCCTTTTAGTTCTAGGGGATCCAACGCCCTCCTCTGGCCTCCTGAGGCATCAGCACACATGTATGCATACGAACACACACACACATACACTCATAGATTAAAAGAAAGTAATTAATTAATTTAACAAAAAACTGTCCCACTTCCCCAGGAAGACACTCGGCCATCCTTCCTGGGTCAGTTCCAGCTGAGGGGTCATCTGGGCTGAAGGACATTTTCTCAGCCACAATACCCAGGACCCTCCCACACACCTCTCTAGCACACAGGCTTTGCACTCTTCAAGTTCGATGATGCTGTTACTGCCAGTCACAGGGTTTCCCCTGTGAGTGAGCTGGATGCTCAAGAGTGGAGTCTGGGGTCTGGTTCAAGCAGGTTTCCAGGACACTGAGAGTCACTGAGCAATCCTTGAAGGAAGGACCAATATCCAGTGAATTCCTCTGTGCCCAGCACCCAGTACAGAACCTGGCTCCCTAGGGATGCTCTCAATAAATGTTTGATGGATGAATGAATAGCTTGGTGGTGTCCTCAGCTGTAAACGAGAAATAGTTACATAATACCTTCCAGGAGGGGTAACTGAATACCTTAATATTTATGCCGAGCTTGGAGCACTGCCTGACACAGAGTAAGCATTCTATCAGTTAAATACATGCTTGTGAACGTGACCACATACATAATAAATAAAAGTGGCTAGAGTCAGCGAGGCAGTTCAGCAGATGAGGTCCGTGCCACGAAAGCCTGGGAAGCCGAGTTCAACCCCCAGATCCCACAGAAAAGCAGGACAGAACCGACTCTAAGAAGTTCTCTTCTGACCTCCACACACACACACACGCATGGACACACACACAGCTAAGGAGAAGCCCATTCATTAAAGTAGCCGGTCAAGGGTAGGAAATCAATGTTTATTAGAAACAGTCCAACACGTAAGGAAGGTGTGAAGAGAGGGCCCAGCCCCCCTCCACTCCTTCCCATTCTCTAGAGGAGATCACCAGTCTGTATCCCGCAAACTGGCTGCTTTCCCTCTGGGTGGTCTCTCGCGCACTGCACTGCCGAGGAGGAGGAGGAGGAGGAGCCCTAGTTCTCGGGGCAATGCAGGAGGTCGTAGGTCACATAGCCCACCTGGTCCACTTGGTTCACCTCCTCTCGGAAACTCACGCGCCAGAAGAACTGGTCGTGGCAGAAGTAGGCTTTGTCTGTGGGGAACAAGGAGACACAGAAAAGCTGAGGCCTGTACTCCCTTACAGACACAGAACAAGATTTTTACAACCACCCTGTGGCGGTTCGAATGAAAATGGCCCCCATATGCTCACAGGGAGTGGCACTAGTAGTAGGGGTGGCCTTGTTGGAGGAAGTGTGTCACTGGGGGTGGGCTTTGAGGTTTCAGATGCTCAAGCCAGGTCCAGCGTGTGTCCCTCTCTTCCTGCTGTCTGTGGATCCAGATGTAGGACTCTCAGCTACCTCTCCAGCACCATGTCTGCCTGTGTGCTGCCATGCTTCCCACCATGATGATAATGGACTAAACAACCTCTGAACTGTAAGCCAGCCCCAATTAAATGTTTTCCTTTATAAGAGTTGCCATGGCTATAGTGTCTCTTCACAGCAATAGAACCCTAACTAAGACACACCCCTCCTGGCCTTCCTGTATCTTTCTGTGTTTTTTACATGACACTTTCAGTTCTTCTACCTCCCCGTGAGATGCTGGAGGGCACAGACCTTGATACTCAAAGTAGTGGCATGCCCGGTGCATAGTAGGTGTTCCACATACAGGTTATGAATGAATCAGCAGATTAATGAATGGGTAGTATTTTAATGCTCAGTTCAACTCATCCAACAACCATTCACTGGACAAACTCATTCATTCATTCTTTCATTCATTCATTATTCATTCAACAAATATTTACTGAGTACCAGCTATGTGCCAAGTACTGTGAGAGGCCTGAGGAGTACAGTGGAAAATAAAGACATGATCTCAAGATACAGCAAGAAATCAAAAGAAGTGAATACATAATGAGGGTCAGGCGGAGACTCTGAAATGGTGACCTGAGTACTGAAGGATGAGAGGGGGCAGCATGGTGACAGTGTGGGTGGGGAGCCTTCCAAAGAGGGGAACAAGCGGCCCAAAGGCCTTAAGCTAGGAAGGACCCTGACGAGCAGCAGCCTAGGTGGAGCCCAGAGAACGTCCAAGACTGTGGGGAGGAGATGAGAACTGGGAAGTACAGACAGGGCAGCGTCAGGCCATGTTAGTTTCTTCTACCTTGGCACTGGTTTGAGCTCACCCTCAGGACCACTGCCCTCCACTCCTAATCCCTCCTCACTCTTACAGAATATATTAAAGGTTATTGGATAATCAGTATGGTTGGGGGGGGGTATAAAGGAGATGGCTGAAAATGATAGATTTGGGCTTTAGCCTCAGTCTAAAACTGCCAACTAATGGAGTATGAGAATTGAAGAGTAGATAATGCAACTCTAGATAATATCTCTATTTTACAGATGGGGAAACTGAGGCCCCAAGAGAGGCAGTGACTTGCCCAAAGACAGCTAGACTTTCTTGCCTCTCGGTGTATCCCCAGTGGCACCCCTGCACATTATAGGCCCCTGGTTACTGATTATTATTCCTTTAGTAATAAAGTAATAAAGGAATGAGCCTTCCCGAGAACTGTGTTCTGTGCTGGAGTTCCCGAAAGAGAAAGATATGCAAGCAGTCTGGAACCTAGATCTGACTGTGTGAACTCGGGGCGTTTCCCTCAGTCTTCAAGGACTGAGAAACTGGCCAGTCGCTAAGGGACGGAGCTCAGTGTGGGAGGCATCTCATGCAGGGACCCTCCCCAGCCAGCACCAGCAAACCTCACCTTGGTACTGGAAGATGTCGTGTGAGTTCCAGGGCACCCCAGGGAACATCTTATCCAGGCGAGTGACACTCTGGGGATCCACCCTCTGCGTCTTCAAGTCGAACCTGCAGGAAATCAGACAAGCTCTGAGCCCCTCCCGCCCCCACGGGCTGCGGGTGAGTGGCGCCAGGGCTCCCCCTACCGGCGGCTGCGGTTGCTCTCACCTCCACACACGCTCCCTGCTGAACAGCAGAGCCTTCCCGCCGCGACGCGGGAGGAGTCCGGTGACCTGGGTTACCCCTGAGCCTAGACCCAGCTTATCCAGACGCCTGGGGCCCAGCACCGACTCGCCTGTGTACACCCACACTTGGCGCCCTGCAGAAGAGAAGGGACACAAAGGTGGAGCACAATCTCTTTGAATGCCAGGAGGGAGAAGCCAGAGAGGCCTAGTCCCAGATGCCACTCAAGGGTCAGAACAACCGAAATTCAGTAGCCTCCTTCCCATAAATGTCAAATCACATCTGCTGGGAGGGGAACCCCACCCCCTTTGCATGGCAGTTTCAGGGGTTACACTGGGTCTCTGTGTCCTGAGCTGACGGGTACTGAGGAATAGGCGGGCTAGAGATGCACAAACTAACCAGAAAAGAAGAAAATCTTCTTGGACAGCGGATCCTCAAAGGCTGAGTCCAGCTTCGCAGGCAGAGCTGGCCACGTGCGGGCAATAAGAAAGGGGCCCTGCAGTGGACTTCCTCTGCGATTCAGGAACTTCCAGTACCGACTGAAAGAAAGGAGACAGCAGGGCCCTCAGCCTTGGCCTGGGGAGGAAGGTGGGAGGGAGATGCAGGCAGGTTCCTCTCCAAGCCCCCTCTCACCCACACACCCTTCCTGCTCACCCGTCCTTGAAGAAATACAAAGAGCCCTGGATCTCAGCAATAGCGTCGAAAATATCCACAGTGCAAGGATTGTCTACCGGGCTCAAAGACACTGTCGCGGCCTCAGAAGGGCCAGTAGTAGGGGGGTCTGTAGGGCCAGCTGTAGGGGGGCCTGTAGGGCCAGCTGCAGGGGGGCCGGTAGGGCCGACCGTGGGACTCTGTGTAGGGTAGGCAGTAGGAGGTACTGTGGGGCACAGAGTGGGGGGAGCTGTCGGCTGTGGTTCAGCTGTGGTGGTGGCTGGCGGCCTTGGGTCAGGCTTAGGGCCAGGACCTAAAACAAGACACTGGGTAAGACACGCGAGTCAGCATTTCTCTGCAGCCCCAGCCTACTCCTGAGCCCGGCACTGATATCTCCGTCTTCCCTTGACGCTGGAGGCCACAAGCAGGCCTCTTCCCACACACCAAGCCTAAGTGTCCATACTGAGCTCTGTGAAGACACGGACTGGGTTGTCAGAACAGAACCACGGGCAGAATCTCCCTCCCTCCCCCAAGTCAGGAGGGGCAAGAGTCTTTTGAGTGGCCACCGCGTCAAACAGTGCTGTGAGCATTATAAACTCGAAAGATTAGCTCTTCAATAGCCCCTATTTTTTTTTAAGATAGAGTCTCACTACATAAACCTGGCTGGCTTCCAACACACAGAAAACAGCCTGCCTCTGCCTCCAAAGTGCTGGGATTAAAGGTGTGTGCAAGCACACTTGTCCTGCTATGCCTTTAAAGGTCCTTTCGGGGCTGAAGAGACGGCTGAGTGGCTAAGACCACTGGTTGTTCTTCTGGAGGACCTGGGATCCTTCCCCAGCACCCACATTGTAGCTAAGAATCTGTAACTTCCGTTCCAAGGGATCCAAAGCCCTCTCTGGTCTCCGCTAGTATTGTGCACACACGGTACACAGACCGTATGTGCAGGCAAAACACCCACACAAAGACAAATAAGTTAATCTTTGGAAGTTCCTTTGGGTCAGTGCCTTGAGTAGCCCAGGTTGGCCTGGAGCTTACTATGTATCTCAGGTTAGCCTCAAACTCATGGTAACCCTCCTGTCTCAACCTCCTGAGTGCTGGGATTACAGGCTTGCAGCATCACACCCAGCAAGTATTCTCATTTTTTAGAGTAAATGATGACCAAAACAACACAAAACAAACAATCAAATGGCCCTTGCTAAGGCCAGGCATCATTCTACTTCAGTTACCCTATCAAAGCCTTATGAGAGGCATACTATTATCACACACCCACTTTATGAGAGGCATACTATTATCACACACCCACTTTATATAGCCAGGTTTATGTAGTGAGACTCTATCTTAAAAAAAAAATAGGGGGCTGGAGAGATGGCTCAGAGGTTAAGAGCAATGCTTGTTCTTCCAAAGGTCCTGAGTTCAATTCCCAGCAACCACATGGTGGCTCACAACCATCTGTAATGAGATCTGGTGCCCTCTTCTGGCCTGCAGGGATACGTGCAGACAGAACACTGTATACATAATAAATAAATCTTTAAAAAAAAAAAAAAAATAGGGGCTATTGAAGAGCTAATCTTTCGAGTTTATAATGCTCACAGCACTGTTTGACGCGGTGGCCACTCAAAAGACTCTTGCCCCTCCTGACTTGAGGGAGGGAGGGAGACTCTTCCCGTGGTTCTGTTCTGACAACCCAGTCCGTGTCTTCACAGAGCTCAGTTTGATCCTGCTCAGGATCAAACCCAGGGCCTCATGCCTGCTCTGCAGCACTCAGTACCTACTCTAACCACTAGGCGGCACACCCAGCCCTGGGCTGGCTTTTGAACCCGGGTCTAGAGTGCCATCTCCAAGCACCCACTGGACACTCAGGCCCTGTCCTAGACCGATATTGAGGTTCCATCCCTTCCCGCCCCTCTTCTCTGGTCCTGCAGCTGAACCTCACCCTCCCCTCTGCTCCTCCATCTCTGTCCCCCAGCCTCACCATACAGATGCTGGATGCCTTTCACGTCGTCTTCATGCAGAGGGGAGCCCTCAAGGAAGCGGTACATGGGGTACATGAGCGCTTCTGGCACTGTAGAATGATCTAAGCCCAGCGCATGGCCGAACTCATGCGCTGCCACCAGGAACAGGCTGTACCCTGGAAAGGAGGAGGAGCCTAAGGTGTAAACAGCAGGCCAAGGCCGCAGCCCTGGCTGCTCCACCCCCACGACTGCCCGGAGGTGACTCGGAACCCACGCTAGGAGCCTCGGAACGCCGCCCACCTTGGTCTGGGCAGAAACCCCACTTCTTGTCAGTGTCGAAGCTCGAGGTGGTAGCGCACCAGAGGCGCCCGTCGCTGCGGCCCTCGCTGGTACAGGTGGAGTACTCCTTGCCCAGGAAGACGAAGGGGAAGACGCACAGCTCGCCTGCCGAGTTGCCCCCAACCACAGTCGCGTCGGCTGGAGAGACCAAGGGTCGAAAGTGAGCCAGGTGGGTGGATGTAATATGGTGCCAGGGACGGGCCACACTAAGGGCACTAAAGACTCCCGATGGCCAATTTTTTTTGAAGCCTAGGGGGCGCTACGGAGCACGCTGAAGCCTGGAAATACGAATGGGCAGAGCCCAACACAGGAGACCAAGGCAGAGGCCCAAGGCCAAACAAAAAAGGCAAATTGGCAGTCACAGAGAGGAGATGTGGAGGGAGACGGTGGGTGGTAAATGGAGAGAGGAGATGAATGGGTGGAAAAGCCACCTTTTGGAGAACAACACTGGAGGGCAGAGCCGGGCTGCACTTGGTAGGCGGGGCAGAGGTACCTCGGGTAGGGCAGAAGCCATACAGCTTATCCTGGTCGTAGCTGGCTGTGGTGGCGCACCAGCGGTAACCATCCGAGCGACCTTCAGTGGTGCAGGCAGAGTAGGAGCGGCCCTCAAAGATGAATGGAAACACGCAGGGTTTGCCGTCCCCATTGCCGTGTTCCGTGTAGAGTCCTGAGGAGACCCGCGTTGTTACCTCCAAGGGTGGCCCCGACGACCACCAGGGCCAAGACCTCCTCTCATTTCACAGAGGAGACTGGACCGAGAAGCGGGGAGTGGGGGGGGGGACACCTGGCCACACCACTAGTGGCAAGGGGATTGGAAACTAAGATTCTGGGCCTTAAAGGTGGCTCCCCTCCCCCCCACCCCGCGGTGCATACTCACTCTCACTGGGGCAGAAACCGAACTTGCGGTCGGTGTCATAGTCGGCTGTTGTGCTACACCAAGGCGCGCCATCGGTGCGGCCATCTGTGGTGCAGGTCAAGTAGGAGCGTCCCTCGAAGGTGAAGGGAAAGTGACACGGGGCACCATCTGCGTTTCCAAAGTAGGTGGGAACCACTGCGGTAAGGAGACTAGAGTCAGGACGGCTGGCCCACTCTAAGAAAAGAGAGTGGGGGGTGGGGCGGGATACAGGAAGGCTCAAGATCTCACCGACGCCCTTGCCCAGCGACCACAACTCTTCGTCGTCGAAGTGGGCATCTCCCTGAATGCCCGGGCCAGGGGGAAAGGCGTGTGCCAGAAGACCGTCCTTGCCGTCAAAGGGATACCCGTCTCCGTGCTCTGCAGAGGCCGACGGGGAGGAAGGCCGTCAACCAAGGACAGTTGCGTAGACTCTGCTCTCTTTAGTGGCGGGAGACTGAAGGCTGTGTGTGTCCCCCCCCCTCCCCAACAAGCGCCCCAGGCATTGCAAGGAGGCGGCTGCGGCTCCAATCCCGCAGGGCACCAAATTCGTGCGTGCGGCGACTAGGGATTGTGGGGCAGGCGGAAAAGCTGATCCGCTGTCCCTTCGGTTCTGTCTGTGGTCCTCCCTCCCACGGCCCAGCCCCAGGGTTCTCACCCGCGACACCAAACTGAATGACAATGTCTGCCTCGAGGCCGTACACGCGGGTGAACGTGAGCGGTGTCACCGCGCTCCACACGGCGAAGGCGCGCGCGAAGGCGTCATCGATCACGTCTCGCGGCAAGTCTTCCGAGTAGTTTTGAATCCTGTAGGTGAAAGGCCCGAGTCCGTAGGGGGGTGGGGGACGTGCCGGGATCACAATGAGAGGGGGCGGAGCAGCAGCTACACACCCCCTGCTCCAGGCTTTCAGAACTTGTATTGCTAAGATACCTTGTCAGTCAAGCGCAGGTGCAGCCTGGCCTCCAACCCTGCCCCAGCCACCTGCTTCTAGCCCAGCATCTCACCAGTATGTGATGTTATGGTGGTGCCACTTGAGGTCACCCTCGAAAGTTTGGAATTTGCCCAAGTCTGGGACACCACAGCGTGGTGCACGAATGGCCTCTAGTGTCTTGCTGTCCAGTTCACCAGTCTGGGGCAGGGACAGCTGCTTCTGAAGCAGCAACAAAGCAGGCCGCAGGCTCAGCTTGTCTCCCTGCATCTCGGCTGCCCGGCTGTAGCCATAGCGGTACAGGTATTCCTGTGGATGGAGGGGCAGAGACATAGCGGAGTTCTGGCACCCTTTCCTCGCCCTCTGGACCATATGCTTAGGGACTCTAAAACCAGGACACCAGGGCTTCTCACACAGCTAGAATTTCCCTGTCCTGTGGATAACACAGTTCCTTCTAAGATGATCTGAACCGTGCCTACCCCACAGCTCCCCTAGGGTTCACGTCCATCCTGTGCCTAATCCACAACCCTCCAAAGCCACCCCCATCCCACTGCCCTAGCAAACTCCAATCTGTTGGTTATTTTCACCACTGCCCAGAGCCTCCACACTACCCCTAGTTCCATAACCCTGGCATCTCTGTTTCTCCAGACATGCCCATTTCCACGCAAATCCAGAGAGCATATTCGAACCCCATGCTTCCTCAGGAACACAGGACATTTTCCAGGCCAGCCCTTCCCAACTTTCCACTGAGGCATTTGTCTACCTGTGCCAGCTGTGTGTCGGTGAGGTTGTTGGTCCTCAGGTCTCTGGGGAAGACCACAAAAGTAGGCTGGCGCTGGTAAGGGGCAGCAGAGCTGCAGCCTAGAGCCAGGAGTGCCAGGATCAGGGGCTGCCAGGGACTCATGGTGAGGATGGCAGTGTCTGGCTGATGCTGCCCTTTCTTCCGAGATTTTAAAGAGGCAGTAAAACTGAATCAGTAGTCCCGCCCCTCCCCTCCAGGCAGGTGCTGACTCAGTGTGTGTGTGTGTGTGTGTGTGTGTGTGTGTGTGTGTGTGTGTGTGTGTGTGTGTGTGTGTGTGGGCAGCCCAAAGAAAGGGCTTACACCACCCCCTCCTTTCTGCCCTACCCACAGTCCACATTGCCGAGTCAGGCAGGACCCCAGACCCACAGGAAACCACAGCTCTCAGGGGAGCGGTTGAGTTTTGCAAACTGCAGAACTTGTGGGAAAGGGAAGGAGGGTGTCCAGGATGGGGGGCTCACCCAGCCCTAGGTCTGAAGGCCCTAAGTGGTCAGTCCAGTAGAGGACTGGAAAACTGCCTGAGATCCCCCTTTTTTGGGCTTCTGAGACACCCCCTCCCTGGCCCGAGCTCAGCCTGGAGCCCCTCCACACACTGTAGGTTCTATTTGCACATCCCCCTCCCTGGTAGTGCCCTTGACTCAGCTTCCTCTCCTGCCAGCTGGGAGCAGGCTCTTGAAGGCAGGATTTGGGGAATTCCACCAGGCAGCCCCCTCGCTTCAGTAGGCTGACTCCTTGGGGAAGGAAAGATGAACCTCAGGGGCATGTGGGAACAAGCAGAAGTTTCACCCTTCCCATGAGCCTCAGGCAAGCATCCTTCCTCTGCTGTCTAAAGAATCAAAAAACGGACCCTTTGTCCCTCAATCCTTTGTCCCTATGTGAGGATAAAATGAGACGTATGAAACACAAAAAGTGATTTTAGCACAGTGTCCATGAGACCTCAATTGATGGTACAGATTCCCTTTAACTATCTGGAGGCTGGGTTTGGGATTGGAACCAGGAGACTGGGGTCTTGGCTCTGAGTCTCTGGGTGACCTGGAGCACACATCTTCCTTTCCCTGACTATGAATTCTTCACGGACTCTTCCTCTCTTCCATCCATGAAAACTGCGCAGTCTCACCAATAGCCAACAGCCTCCCGCCTTCCAGCCAGCCAGCCTGCCATCGTGGTGAAGCAGGCCTTTATTTGCCTTCAGCGAGTGTTTTGACGGAGCCCCCTATGTGCCCAGACCTTTATACACTTCCCCAATGGACGAACCTGTGAGATGGAGAAGGGAGACTCGGTGTGCTTCCCGGCTTCTCTTATGTGCATCTAATTGATGCTCTTCAGTCCTGGATTGCAGTCCTGGGTCCACCGTTTCCCAACTTCACCATTTCCCAACTCTGTCACCTTGGGCAAGCCATTTCATCTCCAAGCCACAGTGATAATTCACTTTTGGTGATTTGTTGTGTTGAACACTGTGATATGCTATCTACAAACCTCTCATTTCCTCTTCCTCCTTCTCTCTCTGTCTCTTTCTCTATGTCTCTCTGTGTCTGTGTGTGAGTGTGTCTGTGTGTGTGTGTGTGTGTGTGTGTGTGTGTGTGTGTGTGTGTGTATGCACATGCTCTCTCAACTAGGGTCTTACACATGCTAGGCAAGCACTCTGCAGCTCAGCTGTTCCTAGCCCTTGATTGTGTTTATTTGTCTTGGGGGGTATGTGTATATATATACATGTGTGTGCAGGGACACACATCCATGCCTGCCAAGACCGGAGGAGACATTGGGCATCCTCCTCCTCTGTCATCTTTCCCTCTTACTCCTTCGAGACACAGTCCCCCTACACCTGGAACTCAATGTTTTTCAGATAAGCTGGCAGCCATCAAGCCCTAGTGACACTCCTGTCTCTGAGTCTCTGTTCCCCTAGTGCTGAGAGGTGTGGGTGGCCATGCCCAGCTTTTTACGTGGATGCTGGGGATCCGAACTCAGGTCCTCATGCTTCTGCAACAGATGCTGTTACCCTGGAAGTGAGTCATTTCCCCGGATCATCCTTGGTTTGTGGAGACAAGATCCTACCATGTAGCTCAGGTTTGTGTCGAGCTCCCATTTCCTGCCTCCTACTCCCAAGTGTCGTATTACAGGTGTGCACATCATACCTAACTTATGAGGCTGATTTGGTGAGCAACCCTGGCTTTTGTCAGGGGAATTGCTGGTGGTCTCACAGGCCTTGGACAGCCTGACTCTGGGGCCTTCTACCTGTGCAGGGGACTGAGCAGATCAGGGTACAGATGAACAAAATGGGTAGGTCTTAAAGCCTGCACCCTGCTCCTCTGATCCCCTGCCACCTTCCTATGATGAGGACCAAGGCTCAGGATGTTGTATGTGTGGATGACATGTCTATAGATTACACCATGCCTGTGTTGGATGTCATGTCTATGCATATATGTCCTGTCTGTGTTGGATGTCACATTTATGCATACGTCATGTGTATGTTTGTCTTGTTGCTCAAGCTTGGCGTCCTTGTTGTTTTTGAGATAGGGTCCCACCATGTAGCCCTGCCTAGCCTAGAACTTGCTAATATGGACCAGCCTGGCCTCAAACTCACAGAGTTCCTCCTGCCTCTGCCTCCTGAGTGATGAGATTAAAGGTGTGTGCCACCACACCTAGCAAGCTTAAAAAAAAAAAAAGATTTATTTATTATGTATACAGTATTCTGTCTACATGTATGCCTGCAGGCCAGAAGAGGGTGCCAGATCTCATTACAGATGGTTGTGAGCCACCATGTGGGTGCTGGGAATTGAACTCAGGACCTCTGAAAGAACAGCCCTTGCTCTTAACCATTGAGCCCTCTCTCCAGCCCCAAGCTGGAGACTTGTTTGGGTACTTCCCCTGGCCACTGCAGTGTGTCTAGAGGTGTCCTCAGCCTCTCTTCCTACTAGATGCCAGTAGCACCACATCTGCCAGTTGGGACAACCAGCAGTGTTGTCAAATGTTCCTGAAGAGGCCTAACTTAACATCAGTGCAGCCATGGCAGGCTGCAGACTAACAGTACTGGGACTGGGACTAGGCCTCACCATTACCATAACCAGGAAAAGCCAAAAACTGTACCCTGCAGGAGACCAATCAGAATTGAGACAAACAAGTACTAGATGCTCCAGAACATTAAAAATAGCTTACATCACTTGTATATGGTTGCCAATTTCCTTGTAGCAATGCCAGTACCAATCCCTGTTTGACAAAACTTCTGTTACCTCACTCCTGCCCAATCAGGAGTTCAACCCCCATCTGAATATGGAATTCCCTTATACCTCCATCCTTTACTCCTTAAAAACCATGCTCAGGGCTCTCCTAATCCAACCACTGTGTCAGAACGGATGGGAAGCCCAAGCTCGAGCTTGCAATAAAGGCTCTTTGCTTTTGCATATGAACTTGGACTCCTGATGATTTCTGTGTGTGTGTGTGGGGGGGGGGTTATGACATGGGTATACCAGTTCCCTGGGTAAGGAAGGAGGGAAGAACATCTGGTGTGTGTTGTGGTAGTTTTTTGCTTTTTGTTTTTTCAAAACAGGGTTTCTCTGTTTAGCCCTGAGTATCCTGGAACTCGCTCTGTAAACCAGGCATGAACTCAGCAGTCCACCTGCCTCTGCCTCCCAAGTGCTGGGATTAAGGATGTGTGCCACTATGCCCAGTTTGATCCTCAAATCTTGAATGCCTGCTCAATTTAGCTGACCCCTAACACTTAGATAGTGAAAGCAAGCGGATCAGAGTTCAAAGCCAATCCTGATACATAGCAAGTTCTAACCCAGCCTGGGCTACATGAGACCATAGCTAAGAAACAAAAGAGGAAAAGGAGGAAGAAAAGGAGAAAAGAAGGCGGGCTAGTAGTTACCCTTCTGTCCCTTGCTTGTTGGACTGACAGTCCAGTAGAAAAGGGATTAATAAATAGTCAGTTACCAGTGAAATAAATGGCTCCGTGAAATGGCCTTTACCTAAAGGCACTTGTCGCCAAACATGAGGACCTGAGTTCATCCCAGGGACTCCCATAGTGGAAGAGAATCAGCTCCTACAAGTTGTCCTCTGACCTCTGCATTCAAACTGCGGCACATACACACCCATATAGACATACACAGAGAAAATGTAATAATGATTTGCGTGCGTGTGTGTGTGTGTGTGTGTGTGTGTGTGTGTGTGCGTGCGCGTGTGTGTGTGTGTGTGTGTGTGTGTGTGTGTGTGTGTGTGTGTGTGTGTGTGTGTGTGTTGTTGTGGTTTGAGGCAGGGTTTTACCAGGGAGCTCTAGCTGGCCTGAAGCTCACTATGTAGCCCAGGCTAACCTCAAACTCACGGTCCTGCTTGCCTCTGCCTCCAGAGTGCTGGGATTGAAGGTTTACACTGCTGTGACTAGTTAGAAAATTATTTTGAAAAACAAAACAAAACAAAAAGAGTTAACAGAAATACAAACACCAAAAATGGAGGTGTACCTATCTACTCCAATGCCCTTCACCATGCGGATGGGGAAAACGGCGGAGGGAGTGTTCTGGGCAATAGGAGTGCTCACTCTGGGATCGGACTACCTAAATTCAAGCTGCAGCTCATTGTGTGACTCCAGCTACTGACACAAGCCCCCATTTTCCTCATCTGTTAAATGGCGCTGGTAACAGTGCTTCCCGTGTGGGCCTGTTGTCCTGGTGCCTGTCACACTGTGTAAGTGATGGTTACCACTGCTCAGCGATGCTGGCCGTCAGGGTTTGTGGTAGTTCTTACCAACGGAGAAGAGAGCACCCACTGGGAACTCCAGGGCTTGGAGTCCACCCAAGCAAGAGCTCTCCTCCTCCCCCCACCCCCAACTTCCTCCTTTACTAACACACACACACACACACACACACACACACACACACACACACACACACCCTGCTCACCAACCCCCATCAAAGGAAACTTGGGGGAAGCTTGGTTTTCAACACAGCCATAGCAGGAAGTGGTTCTGGTTACCACATCCCCTTCCCCACTTCCTCAGCTCCCCCAACACTACATCAAAATTTATCTAAGGACCCAAGAAAGGAAGCAGAGAGCAGGAAGTGCCCCCCTAGCAGGCACAACCCTGACCCCCTGAACCTCTGAACTCCTGACCTGGAATCATTGTTTGGACTCTGAACCCCTTACAGTAGGATGGGGATGGGGATAGACCTGGAGTCCTGAGTCACTGGCTAGGTGACACAGCCCAGACAGGGCCAACCTCAGAGATGAGGAATGGCACCCTCGGTCTAGCATGGGGGAATTCCAAGCCTGCTTCTCCCAAATTTGCTGGAGAGGATAGGGAAAGGTAGGCCTCAGAGGCTCCAGCAGGATGTGAGGGAGACAAACTCCCTGTCTGGGATGAAACAGGTGTCCCCATGAAGTGCATCACTAGACCTCAGCTTCCCACAAGCATCCTTCCCGGCCCTAGCCCCAGGCTGGGGGCAATTCCCCAGGCTGACTCCTGGATTCTCTCCTGATGCTAAAAGCCACGCTTCCCCCTTGCCAGTGCTTAGCATCTTGCAGAGAGAAGTCAGAGCTTTAGAATGAGACCTCTTGGCTGCGGGACCTCAGGCAGGTCACTTTGTCTGTCTGAACTCCAGTTCTTCATCTGCAAAATGGGGCAAGACTGGGGTGTAACTCAGCTGTGGGGTCTGTGCTGCACTTGCTGAAGGCCCTTCAAGGGCCTGCTTCTCAAGGGTCTACTTCAAAGAGTTATAGAGAGGCTTCTGTGAGATTTGCATTCGTGCTGCAAGTTTTTCACACAGTGACTGACACATGACAGGCATGGAAGAAGGGGGCGGGGGGGGGGGATGTGATGATTCCTTCACTCCAGCGCGCTCATTTCATTGCTACAAATAAGCATTCATTCATAACTCCATTTTAGAGATGAGAAAACTGGAGTTTACTCAAGTCCACACACCCAGCGATGGACTCGGGCCAGCCCTGACCAGTACCCCGAACTTCTCCCCAGAGTCTGCCTCGGTCTGAAGTCATTCTAAATCTGTGCACGTGGCCACCAGACAGTTTTCCCAGCACCATCACAGGCCTCAGTACACCACATCTGCACAGTAAGGTAGATCCTTGTGAGGTCCTATTTGGATCTTTCAGAACCCTTGACACTCACTGGAAGCAGAGATTGTGAACTGTTTTCAAGGTGACAGACTCAAAGCCTAGAGAAGTGCTTTTTTGGTTTTGTCTTGCTTTTTTGGCACAAAGTCCCATGCAATCAAGCTGGCCTCAAACTCACTATATTACTGAGAATCACCTTGAATTTCTGATCCTCCTCCCTCGAGCTCCCGAATGCTGGGATTACAGATGTGCACCACACACCCGGATTTATGCAGCGCTAACGATGGAACCCAGAGCTCTGGGGCTTGATCCGTGCCAGAAAAGCAATCTACTGAGGAGCCACATCCCCGGCTCTTTGGGTTTTTTTTTGTTTTGTTTTGTTTTTTTGAGACAGGGACTTGCTATACAACCCAAGGTGGCCTTGAACTTCTGGTTCGCTTGCTTCTGCCTCCGGAGCTCGGGGGATTACAGGCATGTGTCACTGGCTCAGAGAAGTGTTTAAATTGCTCATTGTCCCCCAGCGTGACAGGGCTCCTGCCTCAGCCTTCTGACTCTAAATCCCATGCTAAGATCAGGTCATTGGTTCAGGCAAGAAGGAAGTCGGTGGGGGGAACCATCTGGGTTGGGGGTGGGTGCTCAGAAGCCAGGCTGGAGAGGGTTAAGTCTAGGAACCAACAGTGGGTATATGTGGCTGGGTTCCATAAAAAACAAAAACTGAGGGGAGGGGAAGGGAACAAAAAGGAAGGAGAGTCAGGTAGCTGGAAGGGGCACAGAACAGTCCCAAGGACTTAAGGCCTGGGGGTCTAGTTCCCAGGAAGGGATGATGCTGAGTGTCAAGTCTGGGGCCTGAGGGAGGAGGGGGGAGGAGAGACCCATTCCTTCTGCATTAGATTGCCTGCTGACAGTTAAGAATATGCTTGGGGTCTCAGCCAAGCAGGTGCAGTCTCAAAATACACGTTTTAAAAGTTGCTTTTGATATTTGAGAGGGGAAAAAAAGCAACCCTTAAAATGGCCAGTGTGCAAAAAGTCCCCCCTCAGTTGGACTTCCTTCTGTGGTCATTCCATGGTTCAGTGTTGCTGTTTGACTCTGGGTGGCACCTGTGGTCCCAGCATAGCCTAGCCCCGGCTGTTGGCAGTGGTGACAGTTTGAGGGAGTGCAATCCCCCCAAACCCAAGGCTAGACATCCAGGGAGGCTTAGCTCCTGCTGATGAATGACAGCGGAAGAGACCCTGGGGAATGATTCAGGAGGGAGGGACGCACACAGCGGGAGGATTCTGCTCCTGTTCCAAGCCCAGGTTGAGCTCTCTCCCTGTTCGGGGGTCCCCAGTGCCCGGCAGCAGCTGCTCCGAGGGACATTTAGAAAAGCACACCCTCACCTGTCCCTACCGCAGCAGTCCGAATGGAGGCCAGAAATCTTTGCCATTCATCCATTCATGTTTGTGGTGCTGGGATTCAAACCCACGGCCTTGTACTGTCTAGGCAAGCTTTCTACCAGTGAGCCCATCTCTGTCTGCCCCACTCCTACATGTTAGACTTGACAAGCTTGCCAAGTGATTCCGGTGCCCGAAAACTCTGCTGTAATACAGTTTCACCCCTACAGTGAGTGGGAAGTGAATGGGGAAACTGAGGTCAGAGAATTAAAGTCAATTGCCCAGTTACATAACTAGTACTAACATTGGCTGCCAATCTAGGCTTTTTTGACCATAAAGCTGATGTTCTCCTTGCTATGTTATAGTTGGAGGAGACAGTGTTTCAGGAGCCCTGGCCACTCAGAACTGGTTCTTGAGGGTCCAGGAGTTTGGGTGCAGTGCTCGGGTACAAGGCACCAGAGAAGTTCACAGTCACACACAGCAATCTGTCAGTATGCTAATAGCGCTGGCACTGTGCCGGTGTGGACCAGTCTTCACTCCAGGAGACCCCTGACGGCCGGCACACTAGGCATGGGTCCTGAGCTGAACAGACGAAGAACACGGGTAGAGCTCTCATGGGAAAACCTGTTCAGCAGAGCGGCCTGCACACCGGTCTTCCTGGTATTTTTGTCTCTTTTTGAGTCGTTGCTGGGGACAGAACACATGACCACACACCCGACAGACTAGTGCTCTGCCATAAGGTACCACCCCTCCACACACAGCCACCTGGGACTTTCTTTTTGGTGAGTGGTGTCCATGTTTCATCGAACCCTCTGACTTAGCTGGTCTGGGGCACAACCTGAGTGTGACGCTCCAGTGACTCTAACAGTCACGGCTGAGAACCCATCTTCCCTTCCCCCACCTGCAAGAGATTCTAGATTAACAGCTCCAGGTTTGCATCAGTATTTATCAAGGCTGGGGACATTTTTTTTTAAGATCATTATGCAGTCCCAGCTGGTCTGGAGCTCCCAGTGTAGACCAGGCTGGCCTCGCTCAGACTCACAGAGAGACACACCTGCCTGCCTTAGCTCCTGATTTTGCTGGAATTAAAGGCGTGGGCCACCACCGCACTCTGTCCTAGGCTGGGGACTTTAAAAAATACAAAAAAAAAAAAAAAAAAAAAAAAAAAAAAAAAAAAAGATTCTGATTCAGTCATCAGTGGGGTCCGGAAATGGGTATTAGCAAGCTCCCTGGATGTAGAAATGACAACAGGAACAGCCGCCGCCCCCAGGCTGAGGAAACCCAGAGAGGTTCAGAGACTCCCCGCCCTCCCCCCCGCGCACCCCCAACATAGCTGAAGCAATTGAGAACACCGCCAGGAAGTATCCAGAACCAATTTCCGCAGAGCTTCCTCCCCTGTGCTGCGGGGACATTGCTTCAAAGCCCAGACTCAAAGAGCCCAAGCCGCCCTCCCCACCGCGGTGCCGCAGAGCCCGGGGGCTGCGGCAGGCCGGGCCGGCTCTCAGCGGCTCCTGCTCCCGAATCCCGAGACACACTCATTTAAATATCTGCATACATTTGCATCCTGAGCTCCAGCGCCGCCCATCCCCCCCCCCCCCCCTCTGTAGCGTGGTACAGGAAAAATAAAACTAATATATTCACAAAGCCTGCTGAGACCTGTTCGAACCTGAACTTCACGCGGCGCTG